GGGGGGCTGAGGACAACTCCAAGGGCTACATGACTTGTTTCCAGTCATTGACTTCCAAGATCCAAGTTTTGCTCAGTCCTCCAGGAATACTCCAGCACTATCCACAGAATCTCCTGCCCCACAGGCTAGGGCGAACGTTAGGCCCGATCAGAGGGATCCTTTAGAAAAAGCCCTCCCTGGAAACGGAGCATTTTAAAACATGCCAGTGGGGATCTCTCTGCTAGCCACTGGCTCCTGTTCTTTCTGATGCTCCCCATCACCTTGAGTCTTTGGCACGTGCCCCTAGGCTCTGATCAAATGGCTCCTGCCATCTATGTGGACCTGTGCAGATGGCCAAGCCTGAGGCCAGATGCCCCAGTGAGGCTTGCTGGGGAGACTGGAGCAAATGCTCCATAGAGGAGACTGTCTCAGGAGGAGTGGGCAAGGAAGGACCACCGTAGCTTCTCTGGGCTGCTGGGCACTCCTCCATTTGCCAGTTGGGGGCACTGATGCCAGTCTGCTCTGCTAGGCATTGGAGGTCTTGGTATAGGAATAGATAATGCCAATCTTATCCACGGAGTGGGGGTAAGGTGGGGGTGTCAATCACATATCTATCGGGAAAAAAAGCTTAACAATTCATCTTTCTAGAGCAAGACTTACTTTTTTTTTTTTCCTTTTTAAAAGAAAAATGGCAACTATCTACATACATAGGTGGCTTAATAGCAGGAGAATGGGTTTGTTGTTGGGAGAGGGTGGATGGAGATGGGCTGAGAGAGAACAGTCTATGTACAGGTGGTTTTTCCCTCCTGAGCCTTGATCTTAGTATCTCTTCTGTACTGTGAGAGGGCCCTGAGGAGCCCAAGAGCAGATGGGGGGGCCTTCCTCCTCCCACCTGACTCCTTAGTGGCTCAGCTGTTTCCTCCACTCCGGGAGAAGTGGGCCTGAGGCCAATCAGAAACTGGCTGGCTGCTGCTTCCTGCACAGGCCCAGGCCCTTTGGTGTCCTCTGATCCCCTGGGGGGCTACTCTCTGCCTCCATGCCTGAGGCTGGGCAGGGCTGGCCTAGATCTTCAAATGGGGCTGCTCCGGGAGAGGTAAGCCTCCCTTCCTCTTGAAGGAGAAAATAGATGCTCGAGGGTCATTGGGACAGAGGGATGAGTGCTTGGGGGACTCTGGACCACGAGGCACCCCCTGCTGAGCAGCCAGTCCTGGGGTTGGCTGAGGGTGCTGCCCTAGGCCAGAGGACTCAGCTAATTCCATGTAGCAGTCAAGGCCCTTGTTCATCCTTACCCAAGGGCCTAAGCCTTCAGAGTGGAGCCCTGCTCAGCCTTAGGGTCTCCTGGGGAAGGGCCTGGGTGGTTTTTTTCTTCCCTTGTTTTACAAGAGGTGATGGAAGTACGGGGTGGGATTTGAGAATAGCCAAGAGATAGGCCAAAGGAGTAAGAGACAGAGGTGGGGAGAGAGAAAGAAAGACAGAAAGAGAAAAAGAGAGAGAGACATAGAGACAGAGAGAGACAGATGGGAGGAGAGAGGCAGGAAAAGAAAGAGAAAAAGAAAGAGAGCAAGAGAGAGAAAAAGAGAAAAAGAGAGAAAGAAAGAGAAAAAAGAGAGAGAGAAAGAGAGAGAGAGAGAGAGAGAGAGAGAGAGAGAGAGAAATCTCCGCCCTCCCCAGCAGCAAGTTAGCAGCTGACAACAGCGATTAAGAATTCTGTTTAATGAGTCTGTCCTCCCACTAATAAAAACTGGAAATGCCAGTGAGGCGTCTCCGTCACTGCTTGCTAATGCTCAATTAGAGCTCCTCTGCCAGCAGCCGGAGCAGCGTGCTCCTGAAGGGCCTCCAAGTGCCCGTGGCTGTTTATGGCGAGCTCTTCTCTGCAGCCCCAGCTCTCGTGGGGGCCCCCTCCTCCCTCCTCCCACGTTGCCTCGGCCCCCTGGGCTGCTATATGCCAGGGCCCCAGAGGCCGGGGAGGAGGGATGGGAGCCCACGGTGCCCGACCTCGCGGGAAGGGCCGGGGTGGAGACACTAATGAGGGTGCTGACTGAGTGAGCATCTTCCTCACACTGGCCAGGCCGGTGACTCAGACGTCCTCCTTGCCAGAGACAAGCAGGCCGGCCTGGCTCATCGGGATTTCTGCTCCAAGGTTCTTTAAGGGGCTGTCAGGGACAAGCCCCAGAGGTCCAGAGGCTGGCCTGTCCTTCTATCCCTTCTCTAGTGAGTAGCAGCAGCGTGCTTCCAGAGGCGTCCCAGCAGGGCCAGGAAGGAGCCAACTCGTGGCCCGAGTCCTCTGAGGGTCTGAGGCACACGGCCCCTGCCTGCTGAGGCAGGGGAAGGAGTTGTTTTGACCAATTTGGGGGCCAGGTCAGAGGCTGGCTTTTGGTGGGAATCTAGCGTCATTATGGAGAACTGCAGGCACCTACTGAATGAGGGCCAAGGCCACTGATGATACTGACCCAGATCCAGCCAGGGCTGCCCCGGCCCAAGGGACGCCTTTTCAAGTGAGGGGGGAGGGACTGAGGAAGGACAGCTAACTTTTTCCAACCTGCTGCAAACAATCAACGTCTGGGCTATCTAGCTGGCACTTTTTTAAGGAAGGAGAGAAAGCTTTTTTTTTTTTTTTTTTTTTTTGAGGAGGGAGAGTTCCCTTTGTTACCTATCCAACAAGATCAAATAATAGACTGAAAGAAAGAAAAAGTCCACAGAGTTCCAGTCTCCAAGAACAAAGAGGGGGCTGCCTCCTCTCCCCCCAAAACCAACCAAAACACCCCGTTTCTGGGACCCTGGCAGGTCTGGCTACTCGTGGGGCGAAGCCCTACCACCCAGGTATACAGAAACATGTTGCTGACGGGCTGTGTGTGTGTGTGTGTGTGTGTGTGTGTGTGTGTGTGTGTGTGTGTGT